GGCGGAAGGATCGCCAGAGCCCAGCAGGTCGAGGCTGCGGTGGCCGGCAGCAGCCACCGCACTCCAGTCTGGGTGACAGAGTGAGACTCCAACTCAAAAAAAAAAAAAAAAAGAAAAATTACTTTCAAGGATCAGAGGGAAAGTTAATGTGATGAGCTTAAAGCCTTATGTCAAACTCTACTTTAGCCATGAGATTTTACTTGTGCATAATTTCCCAACATGTCTCTAACTGGTCAAAAATCTCTAAGCAAATTAAAAACAATAAAAATTAACACACAGGAACTTGCAGCAAATGCTGAAAGGACTCTGTTTTCCTATTCCCTCTTCCGTCCCGTCTGCCCAAGGAGCTGGCTCTGTTTGTGACAGCTTAGAGGTTTTCTCAGGGGCTGTAGGATTCATGTAAAGGCTCCACATGACACTTCAGGAGTGGCAGGAAAGGTCTGTGCTCTGCTGGGAATGGACTCAGCACAGCAGGAGAAAACGGCTATACATGAGGCATGAAAGAAGATAAGACCTTGTCTATCCTGGCTTCGCTGAAGACTGAAAAATCAAAACCCTCTCACTACAGAAGGATAATAAATATCCCTTGGCCCTTTCCCAACACCTCTTCTGAAGATCTGACATGTCTACAGACTCCAATTACTAGGAACTGTTACAATTTGTGGAAAACAACTCCTTTAAAGATTTCTTAGAAAGAGTGCTGAAAAGCAATCACACCAGGCTCTCTGCCAATAAGCAGCTCTTCCATAACCAGCGACCCCAGTCTCGTGAAAAGGTCATCTTTCCAGAGAGCATAAAAAGAGAAAGACGGTGAGAGATCGCTACTCCTTGTGGACCACCTTCACTATTTTTAAGACAGAAAAGAGCAGAGTAAGGAACAGGAAAGGGGAGGCTGCAGCTACAAACTTAGCTCTCAACGGACTCAGGTTCTCCCATTCCAATGTGTCACCAAGATCTTCCTTCTACAAAGCTGAAGCACCTCTTCATTCTTCCCTTCAGCTCTTGTTCTTCACCACAACTGCAACCTGCCCAACTTTACTGACTTTCCAACTCTCCTCTCTGGCTTTACTCTTCACCCAGCCAAGGAAATCTGAGTTCCTTTTTTATCTCACTGAATTTTTTTTAGAGACAGGGTCTCACTATGTTGTCCAGGCTAGAGTTACAGTGGCTATTCAAAGGCACGGCTATTCATAGGTGCATTTTTTTTTTTTTTTTTAGTTGGAGTCTCACTCGGTCGCCCAGACTGGAGTGCAGTGGCCGCTCCTGACCACCGCAGCCTCGGCCTGCTGGGCTCCAGCGGTCCTTCCACCTCAGCCTTCCAAGTAGCCGGACTTACAGGTGAGCACTACCATGCCCGGCTAATTTTTGATTTATTGTAGAGATAAGGTCTGCCAAGTTGCCCTGGCAGATCTTGAACCCGCGAGCTCAGGCAATCCACTCACCTCGGCCTCCCAAAGCGCTGGGATTACAGGCTGAGCTACCGAGCCCGGCAGCGTATTTTTTTTTTTAATTGGAGTCTCACTCTGTCGCCAATGGTGGAGTGCAGTGGCACGTCCATGGCCACCACAGCCTCAACCTGCTGAGCTTAGGTAATTCTCCTGCTTCAGCCTTCCACGTAGCTGGAACTACAGATGCTTGCCACCACACCTGGCTATTTTTTTTATTAATCATAGAGATGAAGTCTCGCTAAATAAATTGCCCAGGCTGGTCTCAAGTAATCCTCTGTGCAGCTCACAGGTGCAACTATAGCGCACTATAGCCTTGACCTCCTGGGCTCAAGCCATCCTTTTGCCTCAGCCTCCAGAGTACTGGAACTACAGGCGCCACCACACCAAGGCTCCTGAACTCCTTTCTCACTTTGTTAAATGCAAAAGACCCAACATCGGCAGCTTCAAAGGGGCAGAATTATTTTTTCTAAAGAGGTGTAAGTCTCTTGTTTAAAACTCTTAACAGCCAAAATCTTCTAGTTGTCAATTACATCACAATTCATTACTAACTCATCTAGAAGAGGTTGACTGAGCTTCTTCTATGTGCCAGACACTGAGAACACGGGGATAAAGGAGACAAAGTCTCTGTTGACAGAGCTTACCCTCCAGCGGGAGTGACAGACAATACAAAGGCGAAGGGTCTTCTCTCCCAAACTTTAGGAACTGACATTAATGAGACAGGAACGGGGGGTGGGGCAAGGCAAGAAAAGACAGCCCTCTGTACGAATAAGAGACTGACGAATAGCAGAAGGCTGGTAAGACCTACCTCTGCAATACAGGTAAGGATAATCAGACAGAGTTTGCCACTGTGAAGCCTGTGTTCATCTGTAAAATAAATAAATAAATAAACTCTTCTCTGTAAATCATCCAGACCATGTTTCAATACAAAGACATATAAAAAGAAACAGTCACACTTTTCTTTCTCCACAAAATTCATAACTGGAAATCAAGATATTATTAGAGTAGTAACTCTTGCTTCTCTCCTAGGCAAAAGAATTCCCCCAAAAGATTTTTTCTTAAGTATCCTGGTAGTCTGTTAAATAGCTAACCACCTTTCTTGAAAGCCCTCTAACTCTTACTCCGATTGTCATGGCCTAAATCAGGGACATACCCTTTGACTCTAGATCAGGCTTTTGCTTCCAGATAGTTGGTCCATTCCTTTCTCCACCTCCTCATCCACCAGTTATAAACAACACCATCTGTAACCACCTACCCACAAATCTAGAAAATTTAATGACTGTACAAAGCAAACTGGCAATAAAATCAGAAATAAATTAACTGGAGACAAGAGCTCAGCCACACTTCTCCTTGCATTGTACACATTACTTATGACCTGAAAAGCTAGGGACTCTTTTTTTTTTTGAGTTAGAGTCTCATTCTGTCACCCAGACTGGAGTGCAATGGCCGCTCCTGGCCACCACAACCTCAACCTGCTGGGTTCGGCGATCCTTCCGCCTCAGCCTTCCAAGTAGCTGGAACTACAGGCTCGCGCTACCACGTCCGGCTAGTTAAGCTGAAGACTCTTGATCATTTTTCTTCCTGTCAAAGTTGGTCACACAACAAATATTTGCTTAGCACCTACCGTGTGGCAGGCACTGTGCTAAGCACTAGAGACAGAGCACTGAACTAAACGCAGGTCCCTAGTTTCCCAGAACTCATATTCTACTTATTAAAACATTTTTCAGCCAGGCACGGTGGCCCACGCCTATAAGCCCAGCACTCTGGGAGACCAAGGCGAGAGGACTGCCTGAGCACTGGGGTTTGAGACCAGATGGGGCAACTTGGCGAGACTTGCCTCTACAGTAAATCAAGAAACTAGCCGGGCATAGTAGTGCCCACCTATAGTTCCAGTTACTCGGAAGGCTGAGGCAGAAGGATCGCCTGAGCCCAGCAGGTAGAGGCTGCGGTAGCCGTGAATGTGCCACTGCAGCCCTGGAAAAAAGGTGCTAAAAGCAGAGCCAGATCAAGGGAATGAGAAACACAAAGTTCTGCAGAATGGACAGGAAAGGACTGAGTGAGAAGGGGACACAGAGATAGCTTCAGCAACATTAATAAGGCTGTATTTGTTTAAGTTGGGTGGTAGGTTCACTTATGCTCATTCTATTATCATACTTCATAACTTATGACAATGTTATACTCTATACCTTATCATACATATCTATTAAAAGTATATTTCTGTGGTATCAAACAATAAATATACGATAAGGGCAAAAAAGATAATATCCTGGGAGGAATAGCAGAGCCAAGAGGAGTTGCTTCTACTGAAAACATCACAAGATGCTGTTAGCCGAGGCGTGCAGCAGGTCAGGGGCTGAAGGATGAGAGGTGGGCCACTGAAGTCTCACAGGAGCCATTTTTGAAATTAACTCATCATACCTCGTCTTGTCCTTTGCCATACTTAAGCTGCCTGTTGGCAAAGACCTAATCCAGCCTGAGTTTAAAGACACTATCTGAGCCCATCCATTCTGCAATTAATCAGCCCTTAATTTTGCCTTCCATTTTATGGATGGCAGGTGACCAGGCCAGAGAGGCTTATATAATCCCTTAATCTAAAAATGAGTTCCAAGGGCCTCAATTCACTGTTATATCAGGTAAAGCTAAAAGTTCATTTTCTGGGTCATATCCATATAGTTTCTCTCTTCTGTGGCTGCTGCAGTATTTCCAGAGAAAGAAAAAGGCTATCCATTTCCATACAAAAGCTATGGCCTCAGGAAACTCCAATACACAAGAGTCTTGTTATCTTTGCCGCCAGGTCTCACCTGCAGATCTTGGAGGTTCAGCCATCTCTGCAGCTTCCCAATGGGCTGTTCTATGTTGGGAGTTTATGACATGGACTACTTGTATCTATCTCATCCCTGTATACAGCTTTCTCTCTTGAAGCAGCACACTCATAAGGCACCAGAGAAGAAAAAAGTCAAAGTTTGCAAGGCAGAAATCTCCAAGAGCTAATGCAATAGGTCTGAAGAGAGCATGGCTTAGGCTCTGCCCACCAGGCTCCTTTCCTCTCTGGCAATTCTTTTCCCTGGTTATCTTTTAGCTCTCTTGTCTCTGTCTAACAAAGTTCCCTTCTTACTCTAAAAGCCTCCAAGTCAGGTGTGGTGGCTCACGCCTGTAATCCTAGTGTTGAGGGAGGCCATGGTGAGAGGACTGCCTTAGCCCAAGGGCTCGAGACCAGCCTGGGCAACATAGCAAGACCTCCTCTCTACAATAAATTAAAAAATTAACTGGGAGTGATGGCACATGCCTATAGTCCCAGCTACTTGGAAGACTGAGGCAGAGGGATCAAGGCTGAGGTAGCCGTGAGCACACCATTACACTCCAGTCTGCGTGACAGAGTGAGACTCCAACTCAAAATATAAAAATAAAAAATAAAAAAATAAAGCCTCCAAGGCCGGGCTCGGTGACTCAGCTGGTAATTTGGGAGGCCAAGGCGAGTGAACTGCCTGAGTCCTCGGGTTTGAGACCCACCCGGGCAACTTGGCGAGACCTTCTCTCTACAATAAATCAAAAACTAAGCCAGGCGTGGTAGTGCAAGCCTATAGTTCTGGTTACTTGGAAGGCTGAGGCGGAAGGATCGCCGGAGCCCAGCAGGTCAAGGCTGCGGTGGTCGGGAGTGTGCCACTGCACTCCAGTCTGGGCGACAGAGTGAAACACCAACTCAAAAAAAAAAAAAGCCTCCAAATCTTGGTCTTCCACTTCAATAAAGCTCTTGCCTCTCAGCTCCATTCTGCAATTCCTGAAAGCTCTCAAACCAGAAACCTGCTCGCTTCACTTGGCAAGTAACAGACTTCTACAGTATACTTAATGCCAGCCTAGGCACACTAGCTCACACCTGTTATCCCAGCACTTTGGAAGGTCAAGGTAGGAGGATCATTTGAGGCCAGGAGTTAAAGACTAGCCTGCGTTAGCTGGGCTCGGTGGCTCAGCCTGTAATCCCGCGCCTTTGGGAGGCTGAGGTGAGTGAATTGCCTGAGCCTGTGGGTTCGATACCCACCTGAGCAACTTGGTGAGACCTCCTCTCTGCAATAAATCAAAATATTAGCCAGGCGTGGTAGCGCACACCTGTAGTTCCAGCTACTCGGAAGGCTGAGGCGGAAGGATCGCCAGAGCCCAGCAGGTCGAGGCTGCGGTGGCCGGGAGCGGCCACTGCACTCCCGTCTAGGTGACGGAGTGAGACTCCAACTCAAGAAAAAAAAAAGACTAGCCTGAGCAACACAATGAGATCCCATCTCCGCAAAAAATGTTTAAAAATTAGCCGTGCATGATGGCTGAGGCGGGAGGATCACCTGAGACCAGGCGGTCGAGGTTGCAGAGAGACATGACTGTGCACTCTAGCCTGGGTGACAGAGCGAGACCTTACCCTAAAAAAAAAAAAAAAGGAAAAGGAAAAAACAGTGATGTACACTTACTGCCTAAGGAAACCTTAAACCACCTCAACAAGGCATCTATCCTCATGGAAAGTAAGTGGCAAAAACCACAGTATTTTAGCAATTTTGCTTCTACAGTGCAACTGCTTTGTTTATCTGGAAATCTGAACTTTGCTCATGAACATAATTTAAGAATACAACTATTGAACAGTTAGTTCCTAAAATAGGATTTAAAGGTTCTGAAAAGGAAGATTTATGAAGAAAGAATATATGCCGAATTATTGAGTGATTAATGCTGGAGAGTTTAATTACAAAGAACTTTCACTCTCTAACTACTGCTAGAATGTTTTAATTTTTTTTTTTTTTTGAGTTGCAGTCTCACTCTGTCGCCCAGACTAGAGTGCAGTGGTCGCTCCCGGCCACCATAGCCTCGACCTGCTGGGCTCCGGCGATCCTTCCGCCTCAGTCTTCCATGTAGCTGGAACTATAGGTGCGCGCTACCACGCCTGGCTCATTTTTTATTTATTGTAGAGATGAGGTCTCGCCAAGTTGCCCAGCCGGATCACAAACCCGTGAGCTCAGGCAATCCACTCACCTTAGCCTCCCCCAAAGGCGCAGGATTACAGGCTGAGCCACTGAGCCCGGCTGAATGTTTTAATTTTTAACAAGGAATATTTCAATCACTTTTGTAACTAGGAAAAAAAATAATTTTTGCTTATTTGCTTTGACTCAGGCTCTCACTCTGTCACCCAGGCTGGAGTGCAGTAGCACAATCATGGCTCCCTGTAGTCTTCACCTCCTGGGTTCAAGCAATTTTCCCATCTCAGCCTCCTGAGTAACTGGGACTACAGGTGTGCACCACCACATCTGACTAATTTTTCTATTTATTGTAGAGATGGGGTCTTGCTATGTTGCCCAGGCTGGTCCCAAACTCCTGGGCTCAAGCAATCATCCCACCTTGGTCTCCCAAAATGCTGGGATTACAGACATGAGTCACTGCATCCAGCCAAGAGAAAAATAATTTTACATAGAAGAGGCTCACTGGATCAACCTGTAGGTACCAAATAAAATGCTAATTAAAATGTTCATTAAGGGGTACCTGCATGATCTATGTTTGTATACCTAACCCTAAATTGTACCCCACATCTTTATAATACAAATTTTTTTAAAGGTCCATTAAGATGCCAGGTGAAAGGGTGAAATGCCAAAATGGAGTAGCTTTAGCCAAAGAGCAGCCATTTTAAGCTTTGTCATGCTTTAGTGTTTTATTTTAACTTGTTCTCAATCAGTAACAGAGGACAGAACCAGTTTACCAGAAGTAGTCACTGATAATTGTCTTGCAACCCCCACAAGTATGCTTTGTACTAATTAACAGCAGGTATGGTTAAAAACATGTTCTAGGAAGCATCTTTGGGACACTGGGGAGATATGAACTAAATGTTACCTGATATTAGAGTATTAGATATTGCTGACTTTCTTAGATAAAATAATGGTATTCTATATATCTAGGCTATCTAGAAAAATGTCTTTAATTTTAGGAGATAAATGTCAAAGTACTCAGGTATGAAGTAGTCGTGGTATCTGCAAATACAATTAATACTATTCGGCCAAGATAATAACAACACACACAGAAACTTAAGAGTAAACCAAATACAGTAAACTGTCAATGAGTAATCATTTTGATTTTTTAAACTTCTGTATGATAAAATGTTTTCATTAATAACAATTGGAGGAAAAAAATGTTAGCTCAGAGAGCCAAGTGTGGTGGCTCATGCCTGTCACCCCAGCACTTTGGGAGGTGTAGGCAAGAGGATTACCTGAGCCCAGGGGTTCGAGACCAGCCTAGGCAACTTGGCGAGATCTCAACTCTACAATAAATAAAAAATTAGCCAGGCATGGTGGCATGTGCCTGTAGATCCAGCTACTTGGGAGGCTGAGGCAGAAAGATTCCCTGAGCCCAATAGGTCAAGGTTGATACCTATTAGCGTGCAACTGCACTCTAGCCTGGGCAACAGAGAGACACTTCAAGTTAAAAAAAAAAAAAAAAGCCATCTCAGTGTCACCATGAAATAAAAGGCTTACTTCCAGGGAATCCTAAAACGGGGGTATATTCCACTTATATCAGGTACCCAAGCAATCAAATTCATAGAGACAGAAAGTAGAATGGTGGCTCCTAATGGCTACAGAGAGGGGACAATGGGGTATTAGTATTTAATGGGTAGAATTTCCATTCTGCAAAATGAAAAATGCTAGAGATGGGTGATGGTGATGGTTTTACAATAAGGTGAACGTACCGAGCACTACTGGACTATATTTTTAAAAAGTTAAGATGGCAAATTTTATATTGTATGCATTTTACCACGGTAACAAAATAAGTAAATAAAAATTGTGAACACTCATATAAATCCAGTATAAAGAAAAAACACTAGTTAGGAAAAAAATAAAACAAAACCAAGATATACACTAGACAGAGTTTGCTGAGTCTCCTCCCAACTCCTTCTCACTCCTAGGCCAACTACTCCACTACTCTACCACTAACTAAAAGACCACAGCAAAATCATCAACAGAGAGAGAAAAGGAAAGCAGATGGAAAAAAACTTCAACTTTTCCAACACCCAATTCTCTCCCACTTCCACTCTGCATTTCTCTGATGGGTACTGACACTTCTATTTTAAGTGTTAAGGAACACAGTCCCTCTGAATCTCACCTCTTCCTACTGTACTCTGCACAACAGTCCTCTAATTCTCACCATAAGCTGATGCTTTCAGCTCCTGTCCTCAAAAGGGAATTCCCTGAAGCGTGCTAATCCCCCACTTCCCACACATAAGAGTCTGCATCTACTTACCAAGACCTGCTAAGAAGACTTGCTAGTTTTTATAGAGACCGGTTTTTTTTCTCCTGTTCTATTTTGAGCATTTCCCCCAGCTCCAGGTTTTGCCAGCACCACCTAATTGCCATCTAGCAGTGAAACATCACTGTTTTCCAGCAATCGAGATCATGCACAGGAGGCCCCAATGGTTTGTCTTGTCAAAGCTTCAAAGTATTAGTGCTGCTCTTCGACTGTAGCTGCCTGCCACACCTCCTACTCCCTGAGCCCCTAAAATAGCACATCTTACCTTTGGTGTCCTGCATGACAATTGAGCTATACTTCAAGAAGGTTATCAGTAGATTACTGGTCTGTACATCTGCATCCAGTGGGAGTTCCACAGAACTTATCACTGGAATAGAACAGATAAAACGCACTTAGCCTGCAACACATTCCATCTAACACTTCTACCCACATGGCCGATTTGCCAGCAGGCAAGAAAACCACTAAATAAGCTCTTTCCACAACACAGGGAGGACCAAGTATTCATGATAAAACTTTTGTCTACTCTTCTTAGGCTTCCAGAGTCCCTTCCTACTCCCAAATTAGGCCCAATGTCCTGCTCTATCTAAGGCCAGTCTCTAGCTATAGTATTTCTCCCAACATCCTAGGAAGGAAATGTTGCTTCCACTTCCAGTCCCAAGTACCCCAAAAGAGATTAAGGCCATTCTTAAAGATGTGCTGATATCCACCTAAAGGAAAGGTCTGTATAAATGTAAATGAACTTGGCTTTGATGGGTCTCCTGCTTAAAATAAATTTAAGATTCCTTCCTAATAAGGAGAAATCTTGCTCAATTTTGACATCAAGCCTTCAGGCTGGAAGTAACCATGATGGAGGAGGAATAAGTTAAGGCAGAACTGCATTCAGGTTCATCCACTTAATCCCTTCTCCTGAAAGGGAACCTGAAAAGGAACATCAGACTGAAAAGACATGAACACTATTGGTTGGGACAGCCTGGAAACTGGGTTTTACATGCCCAGCTGCTGTTTCCAGGAAAAATCCTCCCCTGCTCTCTGTGAGCCAGTCCCCATGAACAGTGAGGGCTCAGACCAGGCAACCCACACAGAACACAGCCTTGATGCAGACTTCCCAAAACTCTGGGACTCTGCATTAGACTAAGACACCTTGTCAAGTGTTCTTATGCTGCCTAAGACATGACACATAAGCAAAAGGAGACTTATGATGGCCCAGACAAGCTAGAGAATCCATAGCTCTCTGCTACATTTTCAGCCATGAAGATTCAGCTGAGTTGGGATATTACTCATAATATGTATTCATAGCCATAATGGATCCCTCTGGAGTTATTACGATGTATGCAGAGAATGTTTATTAACAATGGGAACATTTGCAAGTTATGGATCCATAATACACAGCAAGCACAGCAAAAAGCCTCATGAAAAGAAACCAGCATGCGCAACCCTCGGCTGTTTTCCCACTGTTAAGCCCCAAGAACTAATAAAAGACAAATATATTTTTATGCTGAAATTACTAAAAGGTCCTAACTCATGTTATGGTTTAATGACCTGAGCCTGTCATTTCAAACCACAGTCTATTTTAAAGCTCAGAGCCCATAATCATTTCTTTGTCCAATACAAAGAAGCATCTAACCGGTAAGTGGGACTTTTTTCCTGCTCACACAAAGCAATATGTGGAAAACTTCTTATATAATATGTAGAAATATAGAAGTATAAGTATTTTTAGTTTACCAGAAAGTCCTCTTATGCCAAGGCTGAGTTGTCAAATGTCAAGCCTGAGCTGAGAACAAATGTTATAACTAAACTGCTGGCTTTTGAAACGAATGGCTCCCGTGACATACCTTTAAATATAACTGGGCTACTAAGCACCATTCTAATTTAGAACCAAAAATTACAAACAAGGTTATAATACGTAAGACCCCTGCAGAAGAAAATTCGTTGGGAGAGAAGACATAGAGCAAGTAGAGACAGAATACAACCCTGCACAAACGGAAACCTCCCTCCTAAAGAGGAGTCATGCCTCGATCTTTGGCTTCATCATTTCCCCAGCAGCTTCTGTCGAAGGAGACGTCACTTGGAAGTGAGCTAACCTGAGCTTCCCACGAGAATAAAAGCTCACTGGTTGTAGGTAAGCAAGCACAAATCCTGCCATTGCATAATCAAGTGTGTGGGTGGAAGTGTTCACAATGAACAGTCTAAAAGGCAGTCCTCTGAAACATCCAAACCCCAACATCACAAGGAATTCAAACACATATGCATATGTATATGATAGCCATGGAAACCAGGCAGGCTTCATCCTTAAAGAGAAAGTGCAATATTTCCATTGGATTCTTCAGTGACCTGAATAAACAGAGACAAGCAGGCAATCCTCACTACTTGCTCCTTCTCGTTAAGATATTTTGAGATTTGGCTTTCCATTCTAAACAGAATCCATTTGCTACCGTAGACCTGAGTACCAATGGCGCCTCCCTGTCCGGCTTCTGTACTGCTTGTACTGCTGTGAAATGCTATCGCCACTGGTGCTGTACAAAAAAGCTTAAAGGAGAGAAAGCAGAACAGAGAGGGTCGCTTTACACACATGTAGGAGGGAGGCACTAAGAAAGGCTCACAACTGGATTTCCTGTACTTCTTTATCCAAAATGAGGTCAACGTTTGAGGCACAACATCAAGTATTAATGTTGATTGTTTCTGGGTTAAGGTATTCCACCCAACACACTCAGCCTACAACAGAACCAATTCAGATAACACCAAGTTTTTTGGGTTTTTTGGGTAAAATTCATAATTTATTATTTGTTACCTTTTACTTGGCTTCAGCCATAAGTTTATAAAGGGTAAATTGTTGTTATTGTTGTTTTTAGGAGAAGTCTTACATACCCACCAAACTCCCACTAAAATATATTCAGGGTCGGGTGTGGTGGCTAACACCTATAATCCCAACACTTTGGGAGGCCAAGGTGAGAGGATTGCATTGAGCCCATGGGTTTGAGACTGGCCTGGGCAATTTGGCAATGCCTCATCTCTACAATAAATCAAGAAAAATTAGCTGGGCGTGATGGCACATGCCTGTAGTTCCAGCTACTTGGAAGGCTAAGGTGGAAGGATCATCTGAGCACAGAAGGTCGAGGCTGCAGTGACCATCATTCCAGCCTAGGCGACAGAGACTCAAACTCAAAAAAAAAAAATTCTCTCTCTCTCTCTCTCTCTCTCTCTCTCAGGACCAGCATGTTGGCTCATGCCTGTAATCCGAGGCAGGGTTGCTTGAGCCCAGGAGTTTGAGACCAGCCTAGGCAACATAGCAAGACCATGTCTCTACAAAAAATTTAAAAATTAGCCACGTGCAGTGGCATGTGCCTGTAGTCCCAGCTACTTAGGAGGCTAAGGCAGAAGGATCACTTGAACCCAGGAGGTCAAGGCTACAGTAAGCCATGATCATGCCAAAGCACTTTAGCCTGGGTGACAGAGTGAGAACTCGACTCAAAAAAAAAAAAAGAAAGAAAGAATAAACCACTCAGGTCTGTTATCTCCAACTGGGAGTGGTTGGCAGGCACATGATAGTGAGTAAATTCCAGGTTCACTTTCTTATTTGCTCATTCAACAAATACTATTTATTAAGCAATTAGCATGCTAGACACTATGCTGAGCATACAGTGGTAAAGAAGTTAGATGTGGTCCTGGCCCTGATTGCACGTTTTGGTTTTTGTCTCTACTCTCACTGAACCTTAGGCAAATTGCTTCATTTCTCTGGTCTCAATTCCCTCATCTGTCAAATGGTCACATGAAATGACATTACTATTTTACATAATTCCAGTGCTTTATAAACACCCATTCGAGCCTCCCAAGTACCCTGAGAATTTAGCAGGACAGACCTTATTGACCTTTGAGTTCCATTTCAGATCTAGCACTCCTTGATGCTACAATTCCCTGAGAGGGAAAGCTAAGGTTATGCAGCTTCTTATACAGAGAAAAATAACTTGACTATCTTTTCCAAATTTTTCTTTGGAACTTCAGGAGTCCTGAAGGGCAGTACTACAGACAAATTTAAAGGAAAGAATTAACAATTGCTTTTTTTGTTCAACATGCTCATTCTGAAAGAGCTAAGATATTAATCAAGAAAACAAAAGAGGTGGTAGGCTCACCATCAGAAGAGGGTGGCGTGGTCCCAAGTGGTGTGGCTGGGGTTGTTGGAGCAGGATTGACAGGGGTTGTCACCAAGCCCATTTCTGGATGACTCTGAAAGGGAACACAGACGGATATGAAAACAGAAAATCCTGTTCTCCCTGAGTATCCTCTGCTTACTACCTTCACTGGTATGCCTGGCCTCAGAATTATTACTATTATTATTTTTTGACACAGGGTCTCCCTATGTTGCCCAGGATGGTCTCGAACTCTTACGCTCAAGTGATCCTCTTGCCTCAGGCTCCTGAGTAGGTGGGACTATGGATGTGCACCACCATGTCCCTGGCCATACTTAGACAGAAGGCTCACTGAGAAGGGACTGCTTCCGCACTTAGTTCTTATGAGTACCTAATGACTACTGATACTTGCCAGACTCTAATAAGAAGCTTTGTGGGCTATAATTACTTAAGCAACTAGGTTCCCGCTACATAAGTTTTTCTGCAGCACCATCCAAACAGAAAACCGGGGTAAACAAAAACACAGTTTATTCTGTAAGAAGGAACAGGGAGCTTGTGATCCTATCCAGACCTGGAAAAGAACTACTCTCATCAGATAAACCTGTAACACAGCCATAGACTGCTCTGATGACCACGTAATTGACCAGCAGATTTAGGTGAGCCAAGGGGATGCCGGTGCTATAAAAAAGAGCTATTCCGATGGCAGCCTTCCTGGAGCATAACAAGAGTGTGTGGGATGGGGAGACAGAGGCACGGGGAAGACACCCAGTAGGGCCCAAAACAGTCGACTTCTCTGCACCTGACCTTTCTCGCCATCCCTGCCATATCCGCTCTTGAAAATGAAGCTGAGTGGCAACTGTTTAACTCCTCCTCCTCTTTCCCAACAGCTTTCCCAGCCCTTTACTTTCTTCTCCTCCTCCTCTAACATCAGTTATGAAATGTGGAGAGCAGACATGGAACAGAGTGAGAACAGTGAATCTACATTACCAGTCATGAAAACTGGTAAGTGTTCTCCCAAGCAGATCCCAAACCAGCACACTGTGTTTTAAGCATGACCTTATTTTTTTTGTCATCAATAGATTCCAGATTCCACATCTACTCTTTAAGAAAAAAGGATAAGCAAATTTTCCTTTAAAAGAAACCTACATACATATTTTAAAGAGTCTGGCTTTAAGATAAAAACACTTCATCAATTTTTTAAGACAGTTTTCATGGACAGCCCTTGAGGTCTCAGTCTATTTTAGTCCCCATCTGTACCATCTATGGAGGCCACCCCTCAGGCATGTGGCCCAGCACTCAGTATACTATAACTTTCTTTCAGTGTTTGTAGACCCTTTTATCTGTTAATAGCTAACCTTATGCTGAACAGAACATGCTTTACTTTTCTCCTCTGGAAATTGGCAAGATAATAAGAAACTTGGCCTATGTTATCTCTGGTTGCAATTCCACAGCAATTCAGAAAGGAGAAAGTCTGACATAAAACTCCATATGGCAGATAACACCCAAGATTTCTAGCGAAGCAACCTCAACTAGTTTGGGTTAACAGGCTCAGTAAGCTCATCAAGGCCATCAACTCTGTGTGTCATCAGGCCCACCTCCACAACAGACGGAAACACACGTATTTGAAGCAAAGGTACGTGATGCAGCTCCTTGTTCCTGCCACTTACCAATGCAAAGCTGGGCTTAAACAGGTATGGCCAGATAGGCTTTTCAATGGAACGAGCCTGTGCGAAATTCAGGAAGAAAGAAGATTGGGGTTTTCAGGGCAACCAACCTGAGCTAACACTGTGATGAAGTTGCGATTTAAATGAACAGCTTCATAAAGTGCCAGGAGAATGGCCTCATTGGTTCTAAAGAAAGAGAGAACAAATTGAAGTGGCTCTCTTGGTGGAGGAGTTGAGACACTATAACCATCAAGATGAGATTTCACCCCAGCTCCTCATTTGAGTTCCTAATGTTCCCCTTTACACACAAAGGTGCACAGGCAGGAGTCAGGCTTAACTTTTAACTGCTTAGGACTTGTTCTCAACTAATTCATTCTCTACCTTCCCTCTGCTTTTCCGCCCCAATTCAGTTAAGTCCTTAAGTGGCTCAGGTACCCATCCCTCTTCTGCTTCATTCCAGAGGTACCTAAGAACAGCTTTTCAGCATGTTGGGAGTCAGTACATGTAAGACCAAGGCAGAAATTTCCAAAGATCCAATATTGTTTAAAACCCAAGAGACAAGCCGGGTTTAGTGGCTCGGCCTGTAATCCCATGCCTTTGGGAGGCTGAGGTGAGTGGATTGCCTGAGCCCGCAGGTTCGAGACCCGCCCGGGCAACTTGGCAAGACCTCATCTCTACAATAAATCAAAAATTAGCCAGGCGTGGGAGCACACGCCTGTAGTTCCAGCTACTCAGAAGGCTGAGGCAGAAGGATCGCCGGAGCCCAGCAGGTCGAGGCTGCGGTGGCCAGAAGCGGCCACTGCACTCCAGTCTGGGTGGCACAGTGAGACTCCAACTAAAAAAAAAAAAAAAAAACCCAAGAGACATTTGATAAATCACCAACAAAGTATGCATCTGTAAAAGATTTACAAGAGGCAACTCCCACACTCTCGTGCCCAGCAGGAGAGCCCACACTAAAGTCCAAGTCACTGCACAAGCATGTCAAGCACTTACTGTACTGAGATTTTCTCATGGGCATCTGCTATGAACATGCTGCCCACCTGTGGAAGAAAAGGGGAATTGCAGACTTACAGCAGCAGAATGTGAGAGGTGCTCCATGCCAGTGAAGGCTTTAATCAGTGAAAAGACAAGCTGCTTCCAGCTGGAGAACTTGGAACTCTGGACCCTCAGTCACACACACCAAAACCAGCCCACTTTGAAAGTCTTAAGAGACTCATAAGTAATAAAAAAAAAATAAAGAAAATTCTACTAAATCATCTTGCCTTAAAGGGCCTTAAAAAAAAATGCTGGGCTCGGTGGCTCAGCCTGTCATCCCAGCACTTGGGGGCTGAGGTGAGTGGATTGCCTGAGCCTGAGGGGTCAAGACCCACCTGGGCAACTTGGCGAGACCTCATCTCTACAATAAAACAAAAATTAGCTGGGCGTGGTCGTGCGCACCTGTAGTTCCAGCTACTTGAAAGGCTGAGGCGGAAGGATTGCCGGAGCCCAGCAGGTCGAGGTTGCGGTGGCCGGGAGCGTGCCACAGCACTCTGGTCTGGGCAACAGAGTGAGACTCCGAATCAAAAAACAAAACAAAACAAAGCAAAAAACCCCATACTTTTGTCCAGCTCTCGTTCTCAGTGTGTGTGTGACTCTGATGGCAAATAAATATTAACCTACACATCCTCCTTCCTGAAGTTGTTCATTTGAAGTCAGAAACTAACTTGGGAAGAATGTCACAGAAAGCAGGCTGACTTCAACCAACACAGAGCTATCTCTAGGGGTCTATTTGGGTTTCAGACCAAAACTGTAAATGCCAGACCCATTCTCCGTTTTTTTAGATCCAGAATCTTTTTTTAATCCTAGTCAGAGCCAGTGAACAGGCAAATGGAGAGGCTGCCTCTAATATGGGTGGTATCAAAAGGCTCTGAGAAAGAGCCCATCCCCTGGAAAGATCCTTGCTACCTCCTCAACGATGCCCAAAACTATGCGCAAACCTGCAACAGCTACAGCTTCGTTCATTTGACACAAAACTTCTCCTTGGCTGAAAAGTAAAGCGCCCTGGGAGCAATATATTGTATCTCACTCATTTAATCCAACACGAATATAAAGTCCATACTTCTCCAGCCACTGAGAAACTTTTCTCATTTATGCTTCAGAGTTAAAGAGTTTATCAGGCCATCTCCTGAGAACAGCCTCAGAGAAGGGAGAAGGAAACAATGCATGGGGGGGGGGTTTCCTGCTGCTTTGTTGGGGAGGAGAGGAGGCAACTCTTTCCTGCAGTGAACTCAAAAAATTGTCTTGTCGTAGAGCTGAGTACTTGGATATTAGTGCCCAAGAAGACAGATTTTCTAATCTAGCTAGATTCTCGAAACTCCTAGATTTGTCTTTTAAAAACTGTCCCAGATTATCTGGTCTAAAATGTCAATGCTGCCAGGGTGAAGAAACCCTGCCCTAGCGTCTTACAAACTGGACCAACAACTTTCCTAAATCTTGGACATCTCAGCCCAAACCCTAAAGCCTTTAGAGGAGTACTCAGATCTACTCACACTCCCTCAGCCCCAGGACCAGCCACAAGGGATAAAACCACGACAGACAGCCAAGGAGCGCTCAAGGGAGGACTAGATCTAAACCCTAATATTCTGTATTGACCCTTTTTAGGTACAGGGTCAGTACCTAAAAAGGGTCAAAACTATAGGAAAGAAATGTCTGGCTTAACGTAAACCTTTTCTTTTGTCTTTAAATAATTGATTGATTAATTTGGGGAAAAAATGAGTCCTAGAGAGACCAAAGATTTTCTTTCCCCTATCTCACTTGATTTTGAAATTCACTAAAGGAGATACAGTTCCTAATAAAACCTGCTCTGAGCAGACCCTCTCCCTTCATCATGCCATCAACCTCAAACATCTGAACTTCTGAGTCCAGATTTACCTACCCTGTAGATCTCATGTATTTCTGAACAAAAGAGAAAAACAAGTAGGACTTACCATATTTGTTAAAGCAGAGAAAAAACCACTCTGGTGTTCCTCTTCCTTGTCTTTATATTGCCTGAACAAAAAGAACTAAATTCAACTTCAAGGTTATTTATCAAGTATGCCTTTGTCTTTGGCATTCTAGGTAATCAGGGCACTTTTAGAGTTCTCTGACTCCAGAAAACCATAAAGCGTTATGATCATCCAGCCATGGCAGTTTCCCCTGCAAGTGAAGAGGTACCTGTCTGCTCTTGAAGCAGAGTGTACCAAAATGCCTGGGTACTTTGGGGGAGACTTAGAAAGCAAGTTGCAAGTGTGAAACTGCTCTAACACAGGACTGATCCAGTTATTTTCCAAACAGACTATTACTTGAAAGGTGTGACAAAAATCACTTTATGGCTGTAACAGTGAAAATCTCATTTCTGAAGGAGGAGGAGGGAAATCAATGAGCTAAACTATTCACAGAAATGGGATAGATTTGAAGTTCTGATACCCGTGTGTGAGGCAAGTCTACAGAAAAACATGAAAGATCCTGCTTGGCCCTTGCCAAGATTAGGGATTCTGGTTTCCATTCACTGATACCAGAGGGAAAGAAGGGAAGAAAGCATCAATGAAGAGAGTCCCCAGAATAAACAGGGACTCTGGGAAGTTGAGGTTGATTCTTTTTTTTTTTTTTTTGAGTTGGAGTCTCACTCTGTCGCCCAGACTGGAGTGCAGTAGCCGCTCCTGGCTACCGCAACCTCGACCTGCTGGGTTCCGGTGATCCTTCCGCCTCAGCCTTCCAAGTAGCTGGAATTACAGGCGCGCGCTACCATGCCCAGCTAATGTTTGATTTATTATAAAGATGAGGTCTCGCCAAGTTGCCCAGGTGGGTCTCGAACCCGCGGGCTCAGGCAATCCACTCACCTCAGCCTCCCAAAGGCGCGGGATTACAGGCTGAGCCACCGAGCCCGGCTGAGGTTGACTCTTGATGAAAACAAAACACCTAAGTCAGGCGTGGTAGCTCACACTTGTAATCCCAACACTCTGAGAGGCCAAGGTGGGAGGATTGCTTATACCCAGGAGTTCGAGACAGCCTAGGCAACATAGTGACACCGTCTCTACAAACAATAAAAAAATTAGCCAGGCATGGTGGCACATGCCTATAGTCCCAGTTACTTGAGAGGCTGAGGCAGAAGAACTGCCTGAGCCCAGGAGGTTGAGGTTGCTGTGAGCCGTGATCATGCCACTGCACTGCAGTCTAAGTGACAGAGTAAGACTCTGACTCAAAAAAAGAAACAAATATCTGTCAAACTAGAGCTACCACATGCTTTCTTTTATATTTTTTAAGAACAAAGAAAAAGTGGTGCTCCACAACTTTTTTACATAGGAAATATGTGTATGATCCGTTGGGCTAAATGAAAGATCCTACTTACGACTGGAAGACTAGTTAAAACGCTCTGCAACAAAATACCTAAAGTGGCAAAAGATGTGCCTAATTACATAAACTAAGGATGGACACTAATCTGGTGGCTACTTTCCCCTAGCATCAAAAATAGCAGCTGCTGCCGGGCTCGGTGGCTCAGCCTGTAATCCGCACCTTTGGGAGGCTGAGGTGAGTGGATTGCCTGAGCCCACGGGTTCAAGACCCGCCTGGGCAGGCGAGACCTCATCTCTACAATAAAATCAAAAAATTAGCTGGGCGTGGTAGCGCACGCCTGTAATTCCAGCTACTTGGAAGGCTGAGGCAGAAGGATTGCCGGAGCCCAGCAGGTTGAGGCTGCGGTGGCCGGGAGCGGCCACTGCACTCCAGTCTGGGTGACAGAGTGAGACTCCAACTCAAAAAAAAAAACAGCAGCTGCTAAAGCCATCAAGCCAAGCTACAGCAAATATATCTGCCAGGGGCTGAACCTCCAAATGCTCTTTCCAGAGTCAAGTGCGAACAGACCTGTTCCCAACTCAACCAAGTCAAATGAAACTTAGCCCCTTCCACTCCAGGTGGACTTACCTGTTGTACTCAGATAAAGCCTGAGCGATTACAAGCCCCATTCCCTAGAAAAGAAAAGATAACACAGGTAAAGTGAAAGAGCACCTTTGGGGGGCAGTGGTGACACTAGGTCAGGGAGAATACTGATTATACCCCCATGATCCACACCCAAGAACTCCTGCCTGAAAGTTGGCAACTAGGACAGAAATTCTGAGAGACACTGTCAAAGGAACTTAATTCTATGAAAATATTTTTTTTTTCAGTTGGAGTCTCGCTCTGTTGCCCAGGCTGGAGTGTAGTGGCATGCTCACAGCCACGGCAATCTCAACCTGCTAGGCTCAGGCAATCCTTCCACCTCAGTCTTCCATGTAGCTGGAACTATAGACACATGCCACCACACCTGGCTAATTTTTTGATTTACTGTAGAGATGAAGTCTCCCCATGTTGCCCAGGCTAGTCTCGAACCCCTGGATTCAGGCAGTCCTCTCACCTCTGCCTCCCAAAGTGCTGGGATTGCAGGGGTGAGCCACCACGCCCAGTGAAAGATTTTTTCCTTAATGTTCCCAGGTACAATTAAAAGAATAACAAGGGGTGAAACAGACCAGCCCAGGCTGGGTGCCGGTGGCTCATGCCTGTAATCCCAGCACTTTGGGACATGGAGGCAAGAGGATCACCTAAGCCCAGGGATTCAAGACCAGCCTAGGCAATTTGGCAAGATGGTGAGACCTCGTCTCTTCAATTAAAAAAAAAAAATTAGCCAAACGTGGTGGTGCACACCTGTGAGTCCAGCTACTTGGAAGGCTGAGGCGGAAGAATCACCTGAGTCCAGCAGGTCGAGGCTGCAATGGCTGTGAGTATGCTACTCCACTCCAGCCTGGGCAACAGAGCGAGACTCCAACCACCTCCAAAAAAAAGAAACAGACCAGCCCAGATTATCCACAATTTCACTCACTGGGATCATTTTCACTTTGAAAGAGAAGACCAAGCTAGAATCTTCAAACAAAAAAGCCCTCATATATCTCCAAAACAGCCACAAAAAAAGTGACCATGAGTTCCATGCTAAATGAAAGTGCATATAGACAAGTCGCAGGAAAATAGAAATGTAGAGAGAAGTACCCATTAAGCGTTAAAGTGACTTATCAGTTTTCCCCCAGAACCTGTGAAGCATGACACAAAGATCAATGAAGGCCACAATAATGAATCATATGTGCATTTTTTTCTTTTTTTTTTGAGTTGGAGTCTCACTCTATCGCCCAAACTGGAGTGCAGTGGCCGCTCCTGGCCATCGCAGCCTCGACCTGCTGGGCTCCAGCCATCCTTCCGCCTCAACCTTCCAAGTAGCCGGAACTACAGGCATGCGCTACCACACCCGGCTGATTTTTTGATTTATTGTAGAGATGAGGTCTCACCGCCCAGACAGGTCTCGAACCCGCGGGCTCAGGCAATCCACTCACCTCAGCCTCCCAAAGGCGCGGGATTACAGGCTGAGCCACCGACCCCAGCATGTGCATTTTTTCATAAGGGAAATTGGAAAAAATAAAGAGGGCAGGATGAAAAAGAATAAAGCAAGACACCTGGTCATCTTCCTCCTCCCTATATTTACAGTTAGATGTTATTTTCCAAACTTTCAAGGATATACACATACACCGATATATATAGCAGATATAGATCATCCCCATGTTTCAGCTCCATCAAGAAGTCAGGCTATAAATATTATCAGGCTAGTTCTAAAAGAAGGAATCTCCCATCATTTAGTTATCTAAGCTTTCTTGTTCTTGGATGTGTAATTTATTGACTCTGTAGGATAATCAACCGCGGCATACTAGAATATGAAATATAGCCAGTCACTTCTTCATGATTAGCAAGCAAGTTTCCCCTCAAACCTTCCTTCCATGACAATAAGACAGAAGACAGTAAGACAGTAGCACAGATGCTCTAAAAAGAAATACCAATTTCTTCTCTAAGCCAGATAAAATTAAAAGAATAGGCCAGGGTCAGTGGCTCAGCCTGTCATCCCAGTGATTTGGGAGGCCAAGGCAAGTGGATTGCCTGAGCCCACGGGTTCAAGACCAGGCAGGCAACTTGGCAAGACCTCGTCTCTAGCACACATCAAAAATTAGCCGGGCATGGAAGCACACGCCTGTAGTTCTGGTTATTTGGAAGGCTGCAGTGGAAGGATCACCAGAGCCCAGCAGGTTGACGTTGGGGTGGCCATGAGTGTGCCCAGTGCACTTTAGCCTAGGGGCAGAGAGAGACTCCAACTAAAAAAAAAAAAGAATAATTCTTTGCTGTCTGTTCTAAATGTCTGCTGAAAGTACGGCTACTGGATGCAAATACGTAAAATCATACACAAGAATCTAGATACTCACATTGAGTGTGGCCTCATCATCCACGATAGACAGCTTCACAATATAAGGATTCACAGACTGTTAAACAAGAGAAGAAAGAGACTCAAGGTAAGCGTGACCTAGTTAAGAACGCCTATTAGCTATCTCACTCTGCCTGCTGACTTCCCCCATTTCCAGTACACTCACAGTGTGTGTGGACATTCATCAAGTCCACATGCAGATGCAGATACACACACACACACACACACACACACACACACACACACGCATGCAATCCAGTTCTGTTCTGTCTTTTCTCCCATGCTGCATTAGTACAGGCCTATGTCCACTACTTCTCCCATCTTTCCCTCTTACTTGCTTCTAAACAGTAAGTGAATGCTTCACAAAACTCACTTTGTCCTACCCTACCAATAATTTACTAAGTCCATAGGGATAGCCGTCTTTTGGGGGACATAAAAGCCTCTTGCCATAAGGCACATATTTATAAGGTGCTCACTTACATTCTCATCCCAAAGGCTCCCTAACCATTTCACAAACTACATGCAAGGACTGATTCACCCACCCATAAAACAAAGCCACCTTGGGGGTGGAAAGTGGCAGCTGCTTAACAGCCAGAGAGGCCATTTGTGGAGATCCGATACCCAAATAACACTGCAGGGGGGGCTGAAAAAAAGGATATAATTACCCAAACAACAATCTGGTCAGAACACTGGGGTTTAATGATTGTCCCATCACTTACAGCACTAGAAGATTTCTTAAGTTTTTCCAAACCCAGTCTCAGCTGGGCAGCATATGGAAACAGATATGTATTTAAACTCATAATGCAACTGGACCATCTCCTACAAGTGGGATAAGAATCAGAGACCTTTCTTCTCATCCGTAGTATGTGAGGAAAGACCTCATACAGCTCAGGCACTAACCCAAGAGACACAAGAAACAATAGTTTTCAGACTGGCAGTTTTTATAGCTACCAAGAAAACTCATTACCAATAAACTTGAAAACCCAACTGAAAGGCTCATTCCCCACATAGGCCTTATTTAATCAAGTTTCTGAGGGCATCTCTTGCATGTCAATTGGGAACAGAGAAAGAGACAGTTTTGCTTTCTTAACAGCCCAAATGTTTATAAGGTTTTATAGAAGACAACTCAAGAAGGTAAAACCCATTCCATTTGTCACTTGCTGTGACAGAGGAAGGCTCGCAACACTTCTTCCTAGCCAACAATCAAACTCTATTGGTGCTACAGACTTCAGAGAAGGTCCAGTGCAAGTGGATCCTTGGAAAAGAAAAGCAGTCAAATCGGTTGACCTAAAGATGCTGCCATGATGAGAACAACACCAGAAGAGCAGACCACTTTTTCTTGGCATAATTTTTGAAAGTTCTAGTTACCTGAAAGTACACTGTTTTAGGTAACAATAAGGATCATCTGATTTCTAAGACCAGCATATGCTTCAGTAGCAGTTCAGGGAAAGGCAAAGGTTTGAGTTCTAGTCCCACTGCCTATTAATCGTGACAAGTTAGGCACACTAATTAACCTAAGCTTAAATCCTCATCTGTAAAATGGAGATACAGGTTGAGTATCTCTTCCCTGAGATGTATGAAATCAAAAGTGTTAGCCAGGCTCAGCGGCTCAGCCTACAATCCCGCGCTTTGGGAGGCTGAGGTGAGTGGACTGCCTGAGTCCGTGGGTTCAAGACCCATCTGGGCAACTTGGCGAGACCTCATCTCTACAATAAATTAAAAAACTAGCTGGGCGTGGTAGCACGCACCTGTAGTTCCAGCTACTTGGAAGGGTGAGGTGGAAGGATTGCCAGAGCCCAGCAGGTCGAGGCTATGGTGGCCGGGAGTGTGCTACTGCACTCCAGTCTGGGCGACAGAGTGAGACTCCAACTCAAAAAAATAAATAAATAAATAAATCAAAAGTGTTTCGGATTTGGGGTATTTTCAGATTGTGGAACATTTGCATTATACTTATCAGTTGTGCATCCCTGATTCAAAAATCTGAAATGCTCCAATAAAAATTTCCCTTGGGCCGGGCTCGGTGGCTCAGCCTGTAATCCCAGCACTTTGGGAAGCCAAGGCAAGTGGATTGCCTAAGCCCATGGGTTTGAGACCAGCTCAGGCAACTTGTGAGACCTCCTCTACAATAAATCAAAAATTAAGGCCAGGCTTGGTGGCTCAGTCTATAATCCCAGCACTTTGGGAGGCCGAGGTGAGTGGATTGCCTGAAACCACGGGTTCGAGACCCACCTGGGCAACTGGGTGAGACCTCATCTCTACAATAAATCAAAAAAATAAGCCGGGTGTGGTAGTGTGCGCCTGTAGTTCCAGCTACTTGGAAGGCTGAGGCGGAAGGATCGCAGGAGCCCAGCAGGTCGAGGCTGCGGTGGCCAGGAGTGGCCACTGCACTCCAGTCTGGGTGACAGAGTGAGACTCCAACTCAAAAAAAAAAAAAAAAAAATTAGCCAGGCATGGTAGCATGTGCCTGTAGTTCTGGCAACTTGGAAGGTTGAAACAGATGGATCGCCGGAGCCCAGGAGTTCGACGTTGAGGTGGCCGTGAGGGTGCCATGGCACTTCAGCCTGGGTGATAGAGTGAGACGTCAATTCAAAAAACAAAAAGAAAGAAAATTTCCTTTGAGGGTCATGTTAGTGCTCAAAAGCACTAAGATTTAGGGGCATTCTGGATTTCGGGTTTTCGGATTAGAGATGCTCAACATGTATTTTCTCCCCTGGGGTTGCGGACTCGACAACTGGCAGTAACTATATTTTTTCTCCTTTCACATTATTATCACATTCAAAGGAAAACTCTTTAGGAAAAAAAGAGAGGTGGGAAAAAGAAAAGGAACAATTACAACTAGGTATAATAAATAATTCAGTAATTCCAGGGAAACATCATGCTCAGGGAAGCAACTGGGGTCTACCTTACTTCATCTCAGCAGGCTTGGCCAGCCTAAGGCCAGGATCTTAATGCTATGAAAATGTACTGGGTGCTGATTTTTCTTAACACTCTACACCTGTTGTGCTAGTCACTTTATTTATTTTGGGTTTTTCTGAGTTGAGGTCTCATTCTGTTGCCTAGACTGGAGTGCAGTGGCACAATCATGGCTCACCGCAGTTTTTATCTCCTAGGCTCAGGCAATCCTTCTACCTCAGTCTCCCAAGTAGTTAGGACTACATATCACCATGCCTGGCTAACTTTTTTATTTCTTGCAGAGAAAAGGTCTTGGTATATTGCACAGGCTGATCTTGAACACCTAGGCTCAAACAATCTTCCTGCCTCGGCCTCCCAAAGTGCTAGGATTACAAATATGAGCCACCTTCCCAGCCTGGTCACTTTTTAAAACTGGAGGCCTCAAAAACAACAAAAAATAAAAATTAAATTAAAAATAAACAGCCCGAGCAAATATAGCAAGACCCAGTCTCCACAAAAATAAAAAAAATTTAAAAATTAGCCAGTTATGGTGGTGTATGTCTGTAGTCCCAGTAACTCAGGAGGCTGAAGTGGAAAGACGGTCTGAACCCAGAAAGTCAAAGCTGCAGTGAGCCATGGTTTTGCCACTACGCTCCAGCCTAAGTGACAGAGTGAGGACTCGACTCAAAAAATATATAAATAAACAAATAAAACTGGAGGCAATCTGCTTTTCATTCACAAGACAAAATTACAAACTCTGTGAGCCTTCACAGTTTCACTATAACAGGGCCCTGCCCTTATTTGTTCTAAGCTCTACTTAGGAATTTGTACTGTTCTTCCTCAGACCTTTTTTTGGCCTCCTTTATTTCTTTAGATGAAGTGACTGAAATGGAATGCATTATTTGAAGGAAGAGCTATATATTTACTACCTAACATCTTTTCCATCACGTTGTTCCTTAGGCCTGACATCTCTTCTGCCTTATCTGTGCTGAGCTGGACACCCAGCCTCTCTGGTGGTTGCAACTTACCCCCCTGGTCATGAAAGTGACTGCAGTGGAAGCCAGGATGCTGTTCTCCCCAGCACACCCTCTCACACTAGTTTGCATAAGAGTTCAGCAGCTTTGGTTTTGCTGTGTTCATCTGGAATTCCTCATGTTCCTGTCAGAAACCTTCCTGCTCCATGATCACCAGGCTTCCTTAATGGTTTCTGGTGAATGACTTACATCAAAAGCTGCAAAGTCCAGATAAATCATGCCCACCAGCTCACCTTTGCTCTATTAATTCTTCTGGGGGCTTCTGACAGACTAAAGATGCACACCTCACTCCAGAAATATGATTCTCTCCAGTTCCTTGGCCATGTCCAGTATTTCAGGCTGACATTTCAGAAAGCCCTACTGGACTGATCCAGCATTCAGTTCACATTTAGAGAAACCAAGCCATTGCCTCGGTGTGGCCTGCAGCCAAGCCAGCAGAACGTTCTGAAAATATTCACTACTGATGATGGTGTGTTCCTGTCACATATAACTCAACTCTCTTTAACTATCCTCAGCATTTTCCTCAGCTATTTTTCTTGCTGGTGTAATAAGGCTCCCGAGGCTCTTACACACGACAGAGACCAAAATGGCTGCCGTGCCAGCCTTTCCAGATCATCCGTATCACCGGTGTTGGTGACCAAGCACATGTGTGTCAGAGTTCTACACACCCTTCATCAGTTCCCCTAACACAACGAAAGCAGTTGGCACCCGGGATTTCTAATGCGTTAATGTTGTTCCACATGTACTAGTCTCTCTTCAGGAATTCCTTTGTTTTGTTTTTTTAAGAAAGACAGATTAAAAAGAAGATACACTGAGAAGGGCACAATGGGCAGGACAGCAGCAGAGTTTCTGCTGTCTACTACCAGGTATTCCTTTCTCACAGGCTCCTCCTATTCCATCACTCTCCTTACAAGAACAAGTTCCAGATTCTGTGTTACCCATCACTTTCAACCTAGCAAATAGAGCCTAAGTAGGAAACATATCAAAAGTCACTAAGTGAAGATCAAGCTCAGAAAAGAAAATGCTCTCTCTCACCGGGCGCGGTGGCTCATGCCTGCAAGCCCAGCGCTTTGGGAGGCAGAGGCGAGAGGACTGCCTGAGCCCAGGGGTTCGAGACAAGCCTGGGCAATTT